GTCCTAAAACGTAAAAATCCGATCATTAGATCAAAAGTTATTGTGGTTCATCCGGGTTTTTTTATTATTTTCCGCACTGTGCATAGTTAGTGTGATTTAGTGCTTAATGTTTTTAAAACATTTTAACAAATTTAATATACAATTTCGAATAATATTTTAAATACGAAGAGTCCCATAGACACACATTTATCATATTTTATCTTATTTTTCTGTTTAATCAACTCTTACTTGTTTTTAAGTTATAATTTTTAACACACAAAGATTTTGTTTAAGTGTCTCCCATTTAAATAAATTAATTAATCAAAAAACGATGCATTTCATGATTAGTATTTATTTACCTTTAATTATTCATAAGTTTTCCTACATCCTCTTCTTATACCTTTTTGAGAATAAATGAAAAAAAGAGAGTACAGTAAAAGACTTTAATTAAATAGCCAATTTATGTTCTTTCTCTTGAAATATTACATATTTTATAACGTATAAAGATCATGTGTAAATTAGCTTAATTATGCTAATTTTCAAGTTAATATTAAATGATTAAGAACTGAAGTAAAATGTTTAATTACTATAATACTGTTAAGATTATTTATTTAGAAAACTTTAATCTTGGAAAACTAGAAAGGATTATAACTACTCTTCTACATATTTTTTTTTAAATAACAAACTAGAAAAATAACAGTTTTCGTCTAAGAAAAATAAAATTGCAGATTTAAATAAATAAAGTGATCAACACAGTCTTAAGAAATGGTAGACTTTATTTAATCACTAAACAGTGATATCACAATTTACAAATTTTCCAACTTTATACTAATAATTCATTTTACATTGAGCGTGATATGTATCACTGTACAAGAATTATGTTCTTTTATGTACATGTTTCTTCTTTACAACTGAATGAGTTCAAATACAATATGATCCATAATTCGTAGAGAAACCCAGTTCAATTGGTAAATATTTTATGCACATTTAATATGTAAAGCAGTTTTCTCAAATCACGTATTACAGTATCGTAAATTAAAAAAACACTCTCTATGAGAACACTGTTTTCACTTACATACATTAACTAAATTATTTTATCATTGAAACAAGAGAACAAATATATTTATTCAATATGCATGTTTTTATGACGAAGGAATGATGAAACTTATAACAATTAAACCACAGTTTATTGAAAAATTAATTCTTATTTTCTAAGTATGCCTCATCAATAAATTATTAAAGAAAAGAAAACTATTCAAGGGCAAGAAATAAGTATATTTTGCAACAATGTTGCTGTTGTACACTGTTAGAATTTTCCTTCAAAAATTATGGTAAAATAAACGGTAGCAGCCTGTCCATCCAATTAACCGTAAAGTTTGCGGTAAAGAAAATTTTTTACCTTTACCGTTTTTAAACCGTTTACAGTTAGTATTAAAAAACCATGAATACAAAAATTATACGTTTTTTAACCATTTACAACTAATATGGTTTCAAAACCATAAAAAAGTTAACTGAACATTGGAGATAATTTAGCAGCATTATGGTGCTGCCATCTATGCATGAATGAAAGTAAAAATAAATTGGTTAATAACACATAAAAAATTATGGATTACAGCAAAATATAATATTTTAAAAATAAAAACCCAGAAACATTTACTAAATGCGCAACTGCATTGATATATTTTGTTCTAATAGATAACGAAAACATTTTCAAAATCTCATAAATAATGAAAGATTGAAACCTTTTTGAATCTTAAAAGTAAACTTTTTGTGTCATATTACTACTATCACGATGCATTATTTTATAAGAAAGTTCAGCGTCCTCCAAGAAATACAGGCGTCTTTGAAAAAAAGAAGGAAAACCAATTTGTTTAATGTTGAAAGTATTAGACTAAAAACTTATTTGTTAAAATCCTTCCAGTTTAAATGAAAAATGAAACTAAACATTAGACTTCAGTGATGTTTGACGCAGGTTTCAAACAAAATTATTTAGAATGTTTTATCGTGAGGTGAACATAATTAAAACATAATTTGGTACGACAAAAACTCAAAATAAGTATTTTTTTTTATGTCAACGAATTTCAGAGGCCTCATCACGTCTAACGTTTTTGTCTAACTATTCTCAAATTTCATTCCAAATTATGATATGAATGGAAAAATAACCAAATGAATGGTTTAATTATCATATAGTTTTGGTTTATTTACCATAATTATATATATTTTTTTCCAGAGCTGTAATTGCCATGCAGTGCATAATTTTACCAGAAGTTTTTTTTATCCGTGAGTAAAGATAAGTTCCTTGAATTTTTGAAAATGTTAGTAAATTATTTTCAGTTTTTGAAGCACAATTTGAGATCAGCTAAATCACATTATAAATATGGTAGTGTTTATTTTATGAAAATGGATTCCTAAAAAGGATATTCTTTAAATATTTGTTATACATTTTTTTTTAACTTTCAAACTAACGCACCTTTAAAACCAGCCTAAATATTTATACAAATGTCTCTTCCATAGTAAATTGCGAGATTTTAAGAATGTAAATTAATTACTTTAAACAAATTTTATAATAAAAGAAAAAAATATATATATATAATCACAAATTACACTAATAATGTGTAATAATATCAATATGATGAAATAATAATAATGAATAATATAAAATCCCAAAATTACGATTTAGCAACTGACATTCACAATATGGAAGAGGAAGTAATAAATCAAATTGGTATAAAACAAATACATAATTAGGTATAAAAGAAAGAAAAGTTAATTCCATGTATATTTTTTTGCCGGTTTTCAAACAGAGCAAATGTGTTTACAGTGTTTCATATAATCAAATATTAACTCTACAAATTTCATACAACGACATGAAAAATATCGAAGGTAGGCAATATTTTTGGACTGGAATTTTGGAGAATCTTTAAGATTTAAATTACAAAACAAAATTCATCTGTGGTGTATGCGCTCCTGCTAAAGGGTTAATTTCTATTATTGTTCCCCTCCAAAGGATCAGAATCTATTTTTCTTAGTCTGCTTTAAGAACTGCTTATTCACTTTGGTATTCTAATTTTAGAGTAGAATCTATTTTTTTAAATATACTTAAAAAATTGCTTATTCACTTAGATTTTGCTCTAAATTTAAAATATCAAAGTGAATAAAGAATTCTTAAAGCAGATTAAAAGAAATAGATTCTGCTCTAAATTTAAAATATTAAAGTGAATAAGCAATTCTTAAAGTAGATTAAAAATTAAATAAATATATCAAAGTGAATAAGCAATTCTTAAAGTAGATTTAAAAAATTAATTGATATTTTAAGTTCATCTCTAAATTTAAAAAATTAAAGTGAATAAGCAATTCTTAAAGTAGATTAAAAATTAAATAAATATATCAAAGTGAATAAGCAATTCTTAAAGTAGATTTAAAAAATTAATTGATATTTTAAAATTAGAGTAGAATGAATTTTTTAAAATCTGCTTTAAGAATTGCTTATTTGCTTTGATATTCTAAATTTCTTTCTCTTTTTTTATCAATCAACCTTATGTAAAACAATCCATTTTACTTTACTCGAATAAGTGTTATAATCACGTCGATAACACGCAAGTTGAACTTTCATTTTGTATACATGGTTTCTTAAAAATCTTAGAAATAAGAGCAATAAGCAAAAAAGAGTTATTTTCCAGCACGTAATACTGTATTTTAAAATATGTACAAAGACTGCTTTACTGTAAGAATAAAATTCCGTTGTCTGTATTATTTTGTCTAACTTGCCTGTGAGTCTAAGATGCTCATTCATTCGTATTTTAATACGAATCAGTTATTAACCAATAATTAGTTATTTCATTCTGATTAATTCGAATGCTATTATTTCGTAAGAAGACTTTTGTCATGATCATTCTTTCACAATTAAATATAAACGAATGATGTACATATTAATCATTATTATCCGGTATTAATAAGTATTACTACGTAAAAAGCTGTACGTGCTCATTTTATTACGCACTTTTTTATTATTCTATTTTAATCTTAATGCTTCTGTCATCCCACATAAACATAATTGTAATTATTTGAAGAAAATTAAAATTATTTCAACATTACAATAACAAGTAAAAAGTGTTTAAATATTGTGCAAGAAAAGAGTAATGTATGAACAGTATATAAGAAACAGTAAATAGAGATATGTATAGCAATATAAAAGAAATAAAATGCAAAAGGGATATATAATACGTTTTCTATATTCGTTTAGGCAATTTATAATCGTTTTACAAACAATTATAAATAGTTTCATAAAATATGTGTTCTATAAACAAATTATTGTACTTCAGATTTTCCTCTTCTTCAAACAGTTAACTTTTTTCTATTTGTGAAATTAATTTTCACTAAATTTTGTTTTTAACATCATATTTAAACTTAAATGAGCAAGTTAAATTTATTAAAGTTTAAAAGTTAAATGAACTTTCGGAAGACGATGTTTGCTTTTGTATGAGTTAGCAACTTTATTCTAAGAGCATAAGTATCTAAAACATGCAAAAATTGCGACTCATTTTGTAAGAAAATTAATTTCAGCAAATCAAATTTAATTATTTTTAGTACTTTTATTACACCTATTTTACAATATTATACCCATTATTATATTTAAAAAAGAAGCTATTATATTCTCAAACAAGTTCAAATTTAAATTTTTTTAAGTTAATTTTTTATGTTATTTACTTATAATTTGAATATTTTTTTAATTATTTGAATTAAGAATCTTATTTTTATTAGTAGTAGATTGAAACTGAAATTTTACTTAAATTAATAATTGGTTTAACATGCTTACAATTTTTACAGAATTTACAAACGATTGATGCACTACAACTTGTTATGCAAAATGTGTTGCACTATGTACCATGTACGAGTACCTCGTATAACATAAATTAAAAGCGTAAAGTCAAAATTATAAACTGTAAAAATTAAGCTATACATGAAAAAAATTTCTGATTTTTATCACTCTAGTTAGTAAAGTATTTAAAAACTGAAACACAGTTTTAACAAGAAGAAGGAAAAAAAAACGACGTTATACTTTTTTGCAAAATTTAACATTACATGACAAATAATACTATGCAGTTGATTTAAACCGCATTTTGTTAAATGTTATTCACATTTTGTTATTTGTATTTTGTTATTACACATTTCGTTATTTGTATTTTAAAAATTAATCAAAGGTAACATCCAATATAAGCTTTGGGCAATAAAATGATAAGCCACAGTTTAAAAATGTTTGCGAGAGTTGCGGTACAAACGCAATGATTTTTAGGTAATTGTTGAAATTTCTCTCCGATTTGTGCTACCATCTAGCGGAAATTCTGGTAACTCGCTGCCCTCTAGCGGAAGTTCCAGAAATTTGTAAATTAAATATCTACAATCAGTACTAAAATTACCTTGATATTATAAAGATGCCTGTCTTAGAAAAGTGTGGCTTTTCATGATACTGCTCAAATATTATCTTTCAAACATACAAACATAATATAATTTACTATACGGAGATCGAAATTAATTAAAAAGCACAGATCGAAAAGAAAAACGTTTCAGCGCTCTTGACTTTGTACTGCAGAGCCTTAAAGTGTTAAAGAACGCTTTCATTTCTGGTCATCATGATTTCAAGAACCAGAAACAGATGAGACAAAAGAATGAAATGCTCCAGACACTGGGTAGCATTCGAGAATGTGTGGAAAATGAATAGAGTACTTCTTTGACGATGTGTGGGGAAGGGCATTCGATGACATGTCTTTGATACGTTTGTTTTCTTCTTTCGCAGTCGTCTTTTTGTGGACCTATGCACGAAGCGTATGCTAAAGCGTGTGGTACGTAGGTTTGTTCGAATACGCCTCGCACCAGGTGAGACATTGGTCCTTGTGCATACACTGGTACGTCTTCTCCACCGTGAGAGTCCCATCTTCTGGGAACAGCTGATTGCTGGATGTAGTTCTTATCCTCTGGAAAGAAGAAGAAAATTAATTTTGAATTCGAAAAAAGAAAATTTTTTGAATGTAGAAATGTATTTTCGAATCTGAAAAGAAACGTGAATTTATTTATTTATTTTATGAATTTAAATAAAAATAGTTTGTACGTAGAAAAATATTATATCGTAGCTGATTATTTTGAAGAAAAAAAGTGAGGAAAAAATAGTTCAAACAAAATAGTTACGCTAGTAAAGATAAATTAATGGATTAACAAACATTTTTTTAGTTTAAAAAATTATCCGTTAGTTAAAATAATTTAAAAATTAGTTTAATTCAATATTCAATTTACAAAGTTTCAAAGCCGGAATAGCCCGGCGGGCAGGGAGCTGGACTCACGCTCGTGAGAAGGGGAGCTCGAATCCAGCCGGTCTTAGACTCCCTGTGTAGTAAATGGTGACTGGTGTACGTTAAACATATTAGGTTACAAAGTCCTCCACGTTCCCATAACAAATTATACCTCAGGGGGTTTTGAATTGGAAATTGACCGTCTTCTTGTTCAGGTCAAAATTCCGAATGAATGAATCCGCTCCATAAACGGGTGAGACTTATGGATGTGGCAGGAGTCGAATTCCTGGCCATAGATGGCGCCACTGGAAGGCAGGAACAATCGTACACCTTTCCTTAATGGCCTACGTTAACAACAACAACAACAAAGTTTTAATTTCATTCTTATAATACACATATTTATTCAAAAGAAAAAAGCTTGATAGAACAAGATGTTAATTTGTTCAATTTTTTTTTTTTGCCATTGAGTGATACAGCAGTTTTCTTTATCAGATGATATGCTGTAAGTAATGTATGATGCGTTTCCACTTAACTGACATGGTACGAACAACTTGTTCGATAAAACATGGATTGGAATCATTTGAAATGCTAATAATTTGCGTGAGTAACTGTAGCGTGTATAATATCTAAAATCCAACAATTTTAAAGGAAAGTAGTTAAAAAATACAGTTTCCTTACCTGTATTTACATTGGTTAAGTTTTCACGACCACCAGGAAAGTTTCGGTTATAGCCTGGACCATTAGCATACAATAAAGTAGTATAAGGCATGTTATCGACGTCAGACACTTTGTTGTCAACACCTTAACAAATATTTAATTCAATGAGTATAGAAAAAAATGCAACATATGTTACATTATATCCATACAAATTTATCAAACTTTACTCAAAAAATATGAAGATCCCATGTACCATCAAAGGCATTATAATGTAGAAATTTTTTTTCAATCAAGAAATACTTCTAAAATATTTATTTCAAAATTGAAATGTAATTTTTACATTTAATTGCTAAGATCATAATTTCCACTGTTTCAAGAGAGCCATAGTCTTATAAACAATCAAAATTTTCTGTTTTTACTAAAATGATTCCTTTAAATTTCAATTTGGAAGTAACAAGGTTAATAAGATTTTTACATTACTAAACATGGATAAGTTGGGGCTGAAAAATAATTTCACTGAATGTAAGTTAAAATTTATATGCGTTCTAGAGTGCTCAGACCGGTTGGACCTAGTAGAGAAGCAGTTACACTACATCCGATTGCTCTAAAGACATGTGGGATTTTCAAATCTAAAATTAGTTTTACTCATAAAACTACAGATATTTTTAAATGACAGTTTAGCTTTAGTCGTAAGGTACAAGTTTAAAAGCTTTATAAATGACAGGGGAGCGTAACTGTTACTAACATTTTTATGGGAGTTAGGGCACATCATCAGGATTAAAACTGCATAAGAACCCATGCCCAGAAATGTCATCATACGCCACTAAGGGCGCATCTCTATTATTGCCTGTTCAGAAACGCATAAAGATGTCATAATATTGAAACGTCCTTAGCGCCGCATGCCTGTATTCCCGGGCACGGATTCTCATACAGTTTTATTCCTGATGATGTGCCCAAATTATCGTAGAAATAATTGTAGCATTTACGTCTCCCCTTTAATATATATTACGTTTTAAAACTTATACATTTCGACAAAAAATAAACTAAAAATGCAATCTAAAAAATTGCTAGCTTGGAGATAGAAACTAGGAAAGCTTGTAATAGATAGCTTGGAGATGGAAATTGAGAGCATATTTGAAAGCACCGACGTGCAAATATCCAAGATCCGCTCTAAAATCATATGCAACCGAAACAAAAAAAAATGTAGCCAGTGCCATTCAATTTAATTAAATAAATATCTAACATTCCTCAGAAATAACTGTTTGTTACGAAAGTATTCGACTAAATAGGCGTTAAAATATTCAGTGCATACTTAAAACGATAAAAATGAAAGACATTATAGTATGTATTTGAACCCCTTTTAATAACTGGAATATAATTTGAGATAGTAAGACGTTACGTGATGATTACTTACCGAAAATTGAGTTTCCTCTCTTAGGGTATCCACCGAAAGCGAAAACGTGGGAGTGGTCGGAAGTGACCACCATTAGTGTCTCATCTGATCGTGTCATGTCCAGGGCAGTGATGATTGCATCCTCAAATGCAAGGGTGTCCACTAAAGCTCGATGTGCATTGTTGAAGTGATGGCTGTGATCAATTCGACCTCCTACGAAATACATTATAGTTCTACAAAACATCTTAATTCCATTGATTTTATCAAAAAGGTTATTCAACCTTTGGTTTATTTCTCTGCTCAAGATTATAATTCGGTGGCTGTGAAGTTATTTTCGCATTATTATATTTAATCTATTATTGATTAAAAAAGTATTTTGGAACGAAGAAATTAAATGACCGAAATTTGAAGCTTCCTCATATACTTGGTACACTATAACTTAAAATTCAATTATCGAAATTTTATGATATTAAATATAAAACACGTTTAATATTTATTAAGTGCACTGTAAAAGATTCGGGATCAAAATTAAAGTAAAAATGAAGTACTGGCACCCTGAGTGCAACATCCATAAAATCCACTCTACCGTAAATTCCGTTTTTGTCGTAAAATTTTATACCGTCATTTCTACAGTAATATTTAATAGATTGCAGTGTTACAGTAAATTTACAGTAAATATTACTGTAAAGTTACGGCATACTCGTATGTTACATTTTGTTCCGTAAAACTTAACGTTAAAAGCAGATTTCACGGTAAAAAGTAGCGACGCTCTGAGTGCCGGTACTTTTACCATAATCTGATTCAGAATAATGACAGGCTGTAAGTTGTAAATTGTTTTGGTAGCTAAGTATAGTAAATTTCAAAACAAATCGTCAGTTGAAATTTCCTACCTTACTAAATAATATTACAGTGCAATATCGAAACTTTAACAAATATTGCAATTGCAATATGTAGGTCTCTAAATTTCAAGTTGAATATTAAAGATGTCTTATTAGAAGATTAGATGTCTTCTTATTCACACTGGATAAGAAGATACGCTTCGTTTATCAGTGTGAGTATTCAAAAACTTACGCCCATTTTAGTTAATTAGCATAACTTAATTAGAGTTAGATTAAACTATTAATATTCTTGTTTAAAGACAATTTTGTATTTTAAATTGCTCTAAAAATGATTAAGTATTACTTTAAGATGCATTTACTTACATTAATTTCATACACACTTTTGATTAGTTGTATGGTGACGTTGTATGATGACCTTTAAGATCGATCGTTTCTGCATATACTGTAAGATCTGCGGAACTGACAATTACTACAAAACTACAGAGCTGTCATTATTATTGCTTTTTTATTAAATTGAAAAAGAATGCTAAATGAGTTAACCTAATTTTTACAACTTTTATCAATATTTTCAAGTTAATCAAGCAATGAAAAAAATCGTGAAATTTTGCTGTCATGTTCACTGGTAGTTAACACAAAATGATTATTAGGCATATTATGGTAAATAAAAAAAAATAATGGAACGTGATTTGAAAATATTTAAAACCTAGACATAAATTAATGCAGAGATAGAAAAATATATTTAAAATGATGAAAAAGAGTAGTTTGTAAATGCATACTATTTTGAAAAAATAGTATATTTTGGTCAGTCACGTCCAATTTTACATCTACAGTATCATCATTAAATACAGAAACAAAATAATTGCATGCACAGGAAAAATACTTTTCAATTGACCAATTCAAAAAAGATGAGTTCAAGACTTAAAGTGTAAATGTAACCCACATAAAAATGTTTGCGAATATGTTCAATATACTACTTTTTTAATGTGAATCTTAAAATTAAACTCCTATTGAAGGGATTCGGGTAATGCAACAATAAACCTCATTTTTTGAAGATAACATTTTCACAAGAAACTTCTCTTTAGTATTAAATTTAGATAGGTACTTCAGAATTTGTAGTTATACCGCTAGATTGAAGAACAATACTTAGAAACTACTTACTGCTCACATAGAAATTAATGCTTTTATACAAGGAGAAAGGTAGAATTCTGGTAAAATAACATTTCTAGTAAAAAGAAATAATTCTACTTAATAAAACCAAAATATACGGTTTTGAAATAAATTATTTGGTAATTTCCCTGCTCTACTGGTAAGGGTTTAAAAGATATTTTGGTTTTCAAAATTATAGTTCTGATTTCCATTCATTTAGAAAAAATTACAAAAATGAAAAGTAAATTTAATTAAACAAATTGCTTTTATATTGTATCATACTCTAAGATAACATGATAAAAGTATCAAATTTTACCCAATGTATTAAATTTTATCACACATTTTAATACTATATTTTATCATCGATTTTACCAAAATCATTACCAAAACTTTTTAGTAAAAATAACCGAGTTTTTTGATGTTCCCATGGAACCAGAAATATGGTAAATTTTACCATATTCCAGTAGTTTTGACCATATTATTTTTTTCAACATTCATAAAAATTGCGATGTTTTTTCAAAAATCAATCTCCCGAAATAATTGAAATTATGGTTTATCAATTCATTACTTAAAATCTTTAACCTCAACCTCAAAAAACATTACACACCTAAAACATTAAACCTTTACCTAAAACCTCAATTAAATAGTTGATATGTTTTTGTTTTTTTTTAGATTTGACTTGATTGACTATGGTTCTGTTTTCCTATGGATTCGACTTGATTAACTACGGTTGAACTTACATAAAAATGCAATTTTAATTTAACATCTTTATTGGGTTGCCTTAAATTTTTACTGTATTATTAGGATTCAACTTACAGATTACCACCCAATTTAATGCCAATTTTTCTGAAAGTGCAATTTGTGGGAATTCCAAACTTGCTTTTATAATAGTTTAGTTTATTGAAATATCATTGCTGTCATTATTTACAGCAAATATAAAAAAAAATTGACAAGTAGCATATAATATATTTACCTTCAACCATTAAAAAATAACCCTGTGAATTTTTCCTCAAAATTTCAATAGCTTTTGCTGTCATTTGAGCAAGAGATGGTTCACTGTCTTTATCTCGATCAGACTCGTACGCCATGTGACCGGAAGTAAAAAGTCCTGAAAGTTTTATAACTTTGTTAGAGAAATATGAATATTCTTGTGGTTATCAGATTTTAAAATCAATAAACATAAATATTTTTAAAAATAACTCATTGAAAACACTTGTCAAAAATATAATATTGCACACAAATAATAAAATAGTCTTTCGAATTAATAATTTTGTAAAACCCAGAACCCGTTGTAAACTATGCATATGACGTGTTTCGGGAAAATAAACATTTGTTTATTATTGTAGACTGCATTAAAATAAATATTTTTAATGTTTATTTATAAGGATTCTTCTGCAAATTCTTTGAACTTTTTTTCGTCCCTTCTGGTTTTAATTGATTCATGATCTGAACTCGCTTAACTCGTTCCCTAGATACTAGTATTCTTCTTTTAAGTAATTGCGAACACATAGACCAAAACTGTCTCGTATTTCGATTGTACTCGGACAGCAAAGATATACGTCCTAAAAAACTAAAAGTGAAAAAGTTATAACAAATAGCAATAATATGCTTTTATATATTAAACTTAACAAGTTGAATGAACCTAACCTTATTTGTTTTATTTCTTAAAAAAATGAATTTGGATAATAAAGCTTAATTCAAATATGGATATTATGCTGGTTTTCGCCACTTATAACTAACATATGAGAGGTATTAGAAACTATTATTTAACACAATATGGTAAACTAATTTTTTTATATTTGTTTGTTAAAAATTAAGCAAAAATTAACAATTTCAAAATGATGCTAATACATATGCTAACACACATTTTTTCGTAAACATTACGCGTTGAATATACAGAAAATTTCGTATTCCAAATTGGCAAGAGATCGGATATGTTTATTTATTTTATTAAACCCTTATGTGCAATATTTAAGTGCAAAGCTGAATATTTTAGTTAATAAGGCATATTTTACGCTTAATATTTACTTTACCAGACAAAATTTGGAATTATTTCTAATCTGCATGAAATTATTCTTGGTTTCCTCAGACAATCAAACAGGCTTTTATTCAAATGTCCCGCCTACTACAGTAGTGATTTTTTGTAATTCAATTGCTTTTACGTTTTTTTCTCAATTTATTATTCATTTCTGGTCTTTAATGTGCAGGCATTTTTATTTCAATTTTGATAAGGATTCTAGAAAGATGTATTGTCGATGATCTTGAGCATGATTTTGCTAATACAACTCTCTTTACACCATAATAACCAGTTATACTCTGTAGAGGCAATGGAATTTTCTTCCTCTTCTTAGCACTACAGACCAGAGCAGGTCAGGGCCATCCCAAAGAGTTCCTAATGATATTTTAACTCATATAAGAAGTCTGCACTGAACCGTTGCTTCCAATATACAGCAACAGTAATTTACTTCCATTTTACTTTATTGAAAGGCAAATCTATTGGAAAATAAGTGTCCAAAAATGCTTCCATCGTCAATGAATCTTTTGATTTTGTATAAGTTTCAAATGAGGTTATAGCACTTTTACTTTAGAAGCTACCAAACATTAAATATCAAAAAACTTAAATTTCCTTTGATTAAAGGAAAAGTTGCCATTTCTATTCGATATTATTATCCTTAGATACCGAATACCAGCATTTCTTAGTTATGGATATATTTTTTTGCATGTTCAAAATTGTACTATGTAACATCCGTTTCAGTCTGCCTGAGAAAAAAAATTGTTATATCTAACTTCTACTTTGCTAACTGATGTTATTAAAGATTAATCTGCATAAAACGTTTATAATTACAAAATAAAAAAGCTAATACCTAAAACTTTTATTATTTTTTTTCGATATTAATTTGCCCTATACAAGCCTCTTTCCGCAGAAAATTGGTTGAAATTTTAGAAAAAAATACATTTTATCTCTTTGAAAAGAAATATTCTGCGAAATAAAAAAAAGGACTATCTGTACTGACCCAGGAGGTAATCTACTTTGACGGCGTCCACTTTGTCTAGCTCTTTCTTCCTGGACACGTACTTGTAAGACAGACCTCGAATTTTTTTATCTCTCATCCACTCTTCGATCAGGTTCCGGCCATCCTCCCTCCTTCCGTCTCGTTCATTGCTATTTTTTGAACTACTTTGCGAGGCGGTCTTCGATAAAAAATGTCTCCGTCCACCTCCTAATATCACCTAATAAAGAAACATTTCTATTTCTTAAGTTGATTTTGAACAAGTTACTCATAAAGATAATATTGTGTTCAATACAAATCGTACTGCTTTTTCTAAAAATATTCTAAACCATTCAGTTAAATCTTGAACTGTATTACGTTTATGTGAGATAAAAATTTAAAATATGAAATCGAAGCATTATTAATGTCTGTTACAAAAAGAGGAATTAATTTTAATACTTTTATGTAAGATATAAAATTAAAGTATGAAATCGAAGCATTATTAATGTCTGTTATAAGAAGAGGAATTAATTTTATTACGTTTATATAAGATAGAAAATTAAAATATGAATTCGAAATACCTGTTATAAAAAAGTAAGAAGTTGTGAGTACGTTTTTTCGTATCATTTATAACTCATGAATCGTTAAAAGTAGTGTTTTAAAATTTGGGCAGTGGTTTGTAAAATGGAACAATCGTTAAAAAATGTAAAGAACTTTTTGGGAACAATGCTTCGAAATTTAAATTTTCTCATAGTGTTAACTAAATACAGAAAAAAAATTCTGGTACAATTACCATACTCTATGGTAATAACATTCATGGTAAAAAAATCATAATACTGGTGAATAAAACGATATTCGGTGTTTAAACTATTCATGTGGTGACGGTTTATTGGTTTACAAAATTATAGTTTTAATTACAACACATTATGTAAAATATTAAAAAAAACTTAAAAGTAAATTTTACGAAACATATGGTTTTTTTAACCATTTACAACAAGCGTGGTTTCAAAACCGTAAAAATTGAGCTTATCTGTGCATTGGAGATCTTTTTAATGATTTTTATGGTTTAGCACCTTCATGGTGCTTACGTCTATGCGTGAATGAGAGTATCCTATTTTAATAGCGTAAGGTCACAAATTGGAGAGAGCAGGACACTTCTGCAAGGAAGGACCATCTGCAAGGAAATAAATGGCGTTATTAGGTGGGTCTAGCTCGCGTGATAAAATTTTGGTTATTTGACCGTATTTTGGTGATAAGTGACTTTTCTCACATTTAACAGTCTGTATACCATCTTATTTACGATTATTTTACTGTTTTGTTTGAATATGGTAAAATATCAATTAACTAATTTGTTTTTTTAACCTTTTTTTCCATGGAATTTTAAATAGTGTGCCCATATTATTTGTTTTTAATTATTCTGATTTATCAGACAAGTGTTTATGCCACTTACAAAAGATCCGACCTTGTAGTTTGTGAATTTCGAAAACCATAAAGAGTTTAGTTTTGTTACTAAAATCTGAATAATAGAGCCAATGACATTCAAAATAGAACGCTCTTTTCTCGCACTGTAAGTTACTTTCGTGCAAGAAAGCTTTGTATAGCATCCTTACTTACGGTTTCACTCTAAGAAACTAAATATTGAAACCACTCACATTGATGTTTCTCCCAGGACTGTCCTCAATCAGCTGTTTAGCTATGTCTTTGCAGTCTGCTTTAGACGAGTCATTTGCAAGTTTCTCATCACTTTCCCAGTAGCGGTTAACTGAGTGAGCGAACATAGCAGCTGGCGTTGCATGGGTGACTCTGGTTGTTGTAACAAGTCCAGTTGATTTTCCTTTTAAAAAAATCAAAATATAAACGTTTTACCCACAATGAACATCATTTGAACTTATATCACTCAATATTTCATTCGTGAAATCTTTATTTGTTAAATTATTCAGTTTGGATGAAAATTACCTGATATATGCTTTCAACTACACAAAAAAATCTAATGATGGTGTCGCAGTTTTATTGAACGAAAAATCACATAGTAGGATTTAGTTTTCCTATGTCAATTTCCATATTTACTTGTTTACATAAAATTAATTATTATCAGCATAAAATTAATGCAAGTCATAACGATATTGCTCTAACGTAAAATATTCCTATACCAAATGTAAAGGTAGTATTTGCTTGTAAAATTTATTTTCCATATTTTACTCTGATGTTATTGCGTTTTTGACTTTGAGTGTTTTCTGAATTAAGAGCTTAAAACAAAATAAATATTTTTTTAGTCTTAATACTTAACAATAAGCTTCATGCACAATGCAATACTTACACTTATTGAATTTAATGATAGTGGTTAAAAGCACTTAGCGGCGATAGATAGAAGTTAAATGCTCTGGGTCGAGATAGATAGTTGTTTAAAAAACAGAAATAAATAGTGGTTAAAAGAACTTAGTTGTGTTTGTGAAGTATTCAGACTCTATTTTCAGTGACGTTTTGATGCCCAAGTAGCTTGAGGTTTCTGTGTGCCAACTTGTCTGAAAGTAAAAGCAGCAGACTACATTTTTACAACTATATCATTAGTGTAAAAACTACACCCACAACAAACTGTTGTAGAAAACCTCTTTTTCTTCTTTTTAGAAAGTTATAAAACTTTTATTAAAAAATATATATATTTAGTTTCATCGGTATGTTAGGCGTTCTAATTATTTATATTAAAAATAAATTTTTATTTTATTATTTATACCTTTTTTAGTACAAATTTAACTCAACTTGTTGTTCATTGAAGCTTATTTTATAACATTTCCTTTTCATCTTTCAAAACTGCAAATGATATGAAAGATTTTCTAGTTTTTGTTATAAATGCATTTAGAGAAAGATACCTCATAAAAATTTCTATTTCATTCTTATTCTTATTGTTATTCTATTTCTTAATTTTATTATTATTCTTTTTATCTCTTATTTTAGAATTCTTATTTAACTGAAAGAATAAATCTATTGTTCTTCTAGAATTTAAACAATTTGCTGGAAATAAAACTTGATAAACTTACATATCCAAATCATTCGATTTGCATTATTACAATGGATGCGAGATCCACAATTAACAATAATATATTTTGAAGTTGTTGAAAAGGAAACCTTCACAACTAAAATAATGTGATTTTTTTCAGAAAATCAGAAAGTCAGATTTTTTTTAATTATGTATTCAAATTTAATTAAATGACATGAAAAAACCGACTAATGAAGTTCAATTGAGAAAACAGTAGAGCTGAAATTTTGTCACGAAAGATTTTACTTTTATTTGCATGTATTTAATACCGCTCTTACTTTTATTTGCATGTATTTGCATGTAATAAACTCTATAAACTCTATAATCCTTAATCTAAACAATTTTTACATTATTTTCTACATCAGATAATTTTACCTTTCGAAATTAAAATAAATCAAACACCGAAATTCTATTGTTTCAAATTAATTTTCTTGAGGTAGACGATTAATTATTTTCCTAATCTTGAAAGCATTTTCCATATATTAATAGATTGAAATCATGCTTTCAGATTTATTTTAAATGAGGTTTTAATTATTGAGAATATTTCAATAACACATGGAAGAATTCACAACTATATGACAAACAAATATAAAGTTTTAAATAAATTTCAGATGCGTAATTAGTTTGATGAAATGCAATACATGAAAAAGTACCTGTTACTTACATTATTAGTGGTTAATCAAAGAATAATTTAAAAATTTATTTGGTCCATTAATGGCATTGCATCATTTATGAGATATTTATTGCTGCATTAAAATCTTTATAAAGTATAATTAAGCAAAATTATCATTTTCACTTTGATAACTGTTTAATTACCGAAAAATAAAACCTCCGCTCGAATGAAATACGCAACTTAATTACTATAAGATATTGTTTTTATGAAATATTTTTTGTTTTGTTTTTTACATATTTCTTATTCTAGTCTTTACGAAATTGACATTAGAGTAAATCAAGCCACTTGTTTTGGTTTTGTGAAAATTCGCATGGCAGTATATTCCGAAGTTTTAATGAAGTATGTAAATATTATTCTATAAATTGAAATTTAATGCAAAAATGTTTGGACATGAGAAGCGTAAGCAAACACAATTTTTTTAGTACATATATATGTAAATAGTTTCAAATTTTGTAGAGAAATCTGTTTTAAATGCTGTTCTTTTACTGTAAAACAAACCGGATAAAATTTCGATTACATAATTTATTGCGAAGCTAAATAAAACAAAATAATGCTTAGCAATTGTTGGAAGTATGTGAGCGATAGCGAGTAGGAGAAGGAGCTCTCTATTCCTTAACATACTTATCTAGCAATTCAATTCTGAAGTCGGAATATATAATATATAGTCTGGAAGATATATATAGTATAATTATATATAGAATATATATAGTATGGTTGTAAGTCGCTAGAATATTAATTCTCATTCTTGGTTATATGTTAATTCTAATCCTATATAATATAATATATAAAATAACAATTTAACAGACTAATAATTGTTAAATACTTTGTTACATGTAAAAGAGTAAACCCGTTTTTACTCCCACACAGCATTACAGCATAACCATGCTTCGCACTTGGTTATGCTGCACTCGGTTAACTAAGCCGGACATTTTTCAACCTGCATACCAGACTGAAAGCGTTATGAACGAACGATCTGGTCCGTCAAGTCCTCCACAAAGGCTGGTTTGTCCAATATGCTTGATCCAGGATGTTTTCTTGTCTTCTGGGTTGGGGTCAAAAGTACAATGCTACAGAGTTGAAAATTTATAGTAGCGTGATCTCAGAATTAGGGGGGCTTTTTTCAATGCCGGTCATATGAAATAATATAGTGTGCAACGAAGAATAAGCGGTGTTCAAGAACCTTAGTGTCATGATCTTGGAGGAGGGAGCACTTATAGTTCAATCTTTAAAACAGGGTGCAACTACAGACCCTCCCCCACTACTCGGCTGCTCTCAAGAGATCTGAGACCCTCAGTGATTCTACAGATATTTCCCTATTTATAATCTTTTAATTAAATTTCAATGAAAATGTGTCCCTCACTGCACATTACAACATCTCCACGTTAGTGCAGCGCTAATTTTGTAAACAGAAGTATAAGTCTATGAACCAATTACTTCCAGAAGTACGAAAATTACGCAGTTAGATGCTATCACTATTATAAGACCGATCTCTGAAAAAATGGATAATACTTACTTGGAAATACATAATATTTGCTCGGCACTGTTATTCAAAATATTGAATTGTCCGAAAAGTTCGCAGTCATTTTTGAGATGTAGAATTGGAATAGTCCTGAATTGGAATACTCTTGAATGTCTAATATATATTGAACTTGGTCTTATCTTTCAGCCCAGACTCGAGAACTGGGCCACAAATATTTAGTGAAGGTCAGATTGTGTGAGATTCTCTCAGCTTGTGAGGTCAGAGTTAAGCTTGGGGTCATTGTATAAAAAAGAAATAATCAGCAAAACGCTTGGAAATTTCCGCAAAGACAGTTCTTGGAATTAACTATGAAGATTACGAAGCAAGTTGGCTACCATCTAATTTAATATATGATTACCAAAATTTAATTTCCGTTTCAATTTCTCAACAAAATCTGAACCCAATAGGGATATTACTGTTTTTTTAGTAATGAGGTAATTTTTACCTGCACTTTGCGCCCATTCTCCTAAACAAACAACTTTCGCTCTAGCGTTTGTGTCACACCGATTGTAAACTCCACTGTCATCCAAACCAACAGTTTCGAAACGGCCTTTGACACCGCAGAGCAAAGCTGTTGCACAAGCACCGGAATCTCCAACTTGACTATCTGTGTTATACGTCTAAAATGAGAAAAAAATAAAATTATTACACATTCAGCACTAATAATAATAATCTATATTAATATACATCTATGTTCCTCTTACACTGTACCATAAAATCTGGTATTTTTCTGACTATTGGAAACACTATAGACAATCATTTTATTAGGTTGTCTTAATTAATAATTCAAGTAACGTTGAACAGTTACTATTACGTTAAGTATTTATTTAAAAAATGCTGCATATTTAAAGAAATAAGTTGCGAAGTAATTATCTATATTTATGTTTGATGGTTAAGAAAATTGCTGTGGAAATTTTGAATATGAATTGTGCTGTGGTGACGCATACGGTCATAACAATTATTGGCGACATACCTTGTCTTTTTCAAGCAACACTATGTATATCTATATAACATTAGTTGCTCAAGTTATTGTTGGAGAGTTATTATAATATAATTTCTAACCATAAATTATTTCATTACTAAATATAATTTTTTTCACTTATTTTGACCTAAATTAATACAAAATAATGAAAACAGCAGGAAAAATATGTTTAAAAAAATTCAGCTCCAAAGCTTTAACGATTCGATTGTGGCTTAAGAACTAAATTGATGCATAAGAAACACTGTCCTAAAAGTATGAGAAGATAATACAATGAGAATATAATACAATGAGAATAATAATGGAATACAGATTCTCTAATTAATGAAATCAATGATAGATTGAAGCTACTAAAGTGGTGTTGTATATGAACTTTGTTGTTCTGAGTTAAAATATGTATACTAGTTACTGGTTCTATGCTAATGGAACACCCTGGTACTTCTTTAGTTGTTATATCGAAGGCAAAATATTGTTTCTCTTTTAAATCACACGTGTATATGAAAGACTTGCGATCTTAACACGCCATTGGTATAGAGTCGACTCTGTCACTAATATGTAATTCTGTCATTGGTATATAATTCTGTCGATAGTAGTGTATATATTCTATATGCAATCAATATTATATGCAATAAATTAGCCCTTATACCTTTCAGAAGACGCAACATATTTTATCTCCCTTTAAAAAGGAAGCTTTTTTTTTACATTTCCATTTAAATGACGTGTTTTAAATTTAATACTCTGCTAAAAATAACTAATTGACATCAATTTATTAAAATATACTACAGAGGAAAATAGAACACTCATTTATATGAGTAAAGTCGATTAATATAGTAGTCAGGTCTATGAAGGGAAATGGAAGACAGTAGATAAGATAAGTGCGATAGACTTCTTTATACGGGTAAATGAATCGAGTAGAGTAGACCTGTCTATACGATGCTTGACCAAGATAAATTTATCCTGCTACAATTTCGGCTGTTGTCTTATAAGATATGTGCTATGGACTTCTTTATACGGGTAAATGAATCGAGCATAGTAGACCTGTCTATACGATGTTTGACCAAGAGAAATTTATCCTGCTACAATTTCGGTTGATCTCTTATAAGATAAGTGCGATGGACTTCTTTATACGGGTAAATAAATCGAGTAGAGTTGACCTGTCCATATGATGTTTGACCAAGAGAAATTTATCCTGCCACAATTTCAGCAGGTCTGCAGAATTAGGTCTTCAGTTGGAGAAGTTATGGAACATATCAAGAGAATTAATTCAAAGAAATATATAAATCTAAACCCTTTTTCTGGTTTCAATTGGACATAACTGGTATTATAATCGTAATAAACGTAACAGAGGGAATTAAAATGTTATATAACACGAGGAATATCAACGAAGCACATTAAATACATTTCTGTAAAAATTTCATTATCTCACCTAATATATATTTCTCTCTACGTAGAAATATAAGCAATTAGTTAAAAATTAGTATTTTATATAAGGTTAAAAGTTAAAAAACGTGTATACATTGATCAAAACGGAAAATATCACCTAAAATGAGTTTTCTCCCAGTTGATAATAAAATACTACATAATTTAATTTGTAGCAGAAATTGCTTTCCGCTGTTTGATAAAATATTATTCAGACAAAATTGCGACCTTAATTGGAAAGGTATATTATTTTTTTCCTTTCTTCTTTCATATCTGGGTAAATATCAAATAATCAAAATAAATTCTTTAATATTAAATAATCAAAATAAATTGCAAAACATTGTTTCCCGATTGTGCTTAAACAGTTTATCCTTTCTCGCAGAAATTTTGTGAAACCTATTTTTTATACTTTTTTCATTATTTTGCATTAATTTGGGTCAAAATAAGTTAAACATATTATAATTTACATTTCAATAATTTCTGGTTATGAAATACAACATGAAACTCCGGTGTCTTTTTCTGCATTAAAGGTTAAATCTCCCAAATGCGGCTCACTTCCTGATAATATTTATTTATTTAAATTTGCCTTTATTTGCATTCATTCTAAGAGAACGGTTATTTATCTTTGAAATTTCTTTAATTTGCAAAATCTATTAACGTTAAACTTTTGAATACAATTTTTTTTTAAATTTCAACTTTTCAATTTTTTTATTATTTTAAAACAAATATAATTGCTATAATCTAACAGATTTGTTTCAGTAACTATTAGACTGGTTTTTGTAATTGAAAAATACCAAGATATATTTTTGCTTGAGGACAAAACATTTTATATGAAAGGGACTCTGTTGCATTAAAAAGTTAACCCTCACTTTTTCAAATTAATATGACTATTTCTTATTACATTTCAATTACAGGTTTTCGAACACATAATTTTATCAATTTGAATATAAATCTTTATTATAAATTCATCAATCTTACATAGACAAAACTATAATTTTTCTAACTGGGAAATAAATATTAAGTAAATGCTTCGATGCGCGCGCTTTTAGTTATCTACAAAAAAGAAGTTTTTAATAAATTTTAGTTTTTATTCAAACTAAACATGCGAGACTTTTAAATTAATTTTGAATTTTTACTCATGTCATAAAGCGTTTCTCTTCATTTCGAATTTTAGTAACAGCTAAGATACACATTCGCATGTTTAAATAATAAGTTTTCCAGAATATTTAAAATTTCTCAATGAAAATGCAAGAGTCTAGCCTTATATTATAACAACGAGAGTTATTTTGCTCAATGCTAATCTTGTGCACAATTTCTCAAGGGAATTACTTTTGCTCCTTTCTCTATTTAGTGTTTCTACGAAATAAAACTACACCCACTGTTGTTGATAGAGAACTTTAACAAACAAAAAGAATAATTAAGTAAATACATATTCTTTATTTAGTATTTTTATTTGCAGAAAATTCCGATGTTTCATACGTGCTTTCACTTTTACAATTGTTTTGACACAAGAAACAAATATATATATGTTTGATATACTCACAAAACTTAGAACTTAAAACTTACTTGCATCAAATTTTCTACATCATTAAAGAAATTAAAGTAAAACGTAGATGAAAAATGTTATTTATTTGCAGGAAATCTTTTGTGATAAGTCAGAAAATTGTAGGTTTTGTCTCTAAAACTGTCAGCAAATGAATATCATAAGAAAAATATATATAGTAAATTTATATATTTGTAATATTTGTAATTTTTTTTACTTATTTTCATGAGCCCTAAGCCTAAATAATTTAAATGACATAGTATTTTTTCAACTAAAAATTATGCCCCAAAATGCTTTTCATTTTATCGTAATTTTCCGTTACTTTTCTTATCAGCGAACACTGTAGCAATTTTCATTCTAAAATTACGGTAAAACAACCGTCAGCAGTCTGTACGGTAAAACAACCGTATAAATTACATTTTTTACCTTTACAGTTTTGAAAGCATTTACAACTGGTATGGTTAAAAAAACATGAATATAATAGAAATACGATTTCTTAACAAATTACATTTAGCAAGGATTGAAAATCGTTGAAATAAATTTAACTGGACATTGGATTTAAGCTTTTCGTTAGATAATAGGCATTGGAGTAAGGTCGTGGTTGAGTTGTGTTTTATCAATTGAACTTAGGAATAGGGTTTAATTAGTTTATGAAATTAGTTAATTAGGACACTGAATGAGATGGTTCTTCATTTGTTGAAGAGAATGCAGGAAATATTGTGATACCAATACTGTTTTTCAAATCCCTGTTCAGTTGGTCATGAGATTGACAGATTATAACATATACCCATATATGTTATATACCGCTCCATACGGCTATAACATATACCCAGCTGCAAGGAAGGAAGTATCTTCATTAGGTTGGCATAGTTGAAGCGTTAAAATTACGGTTGTTTAGCCGTATTAGATGAAAACAGTTTCTCGCACAGTTAACAGTTTTAATACGTTTCATCTATGGTTATTTGACTGTTTTGTTTGAATATGGTAAAATAACAATTAAATAAATTGTTATTTAACCGTTTTTTCTGATGAATTTCTAACAGTGTAGAAGAATTGGGCTTGGAATAAGCTAAACAATCATGTATAAATGTTAGAAATTATCGAAAATTATAAGAAAATAACATATTACCTGAAAATGTTTTTACTAGACCGAAAAAAATTCGAAAAACATTCTTTAACTCTGTATTCAATATAATTTTAATTTGATTCAAATTTGTCTAAAATAACTGGACAAGTTGTATTTGAATAGCTAGAATAACTACCCCAATATTATCCTTTCTTTTTTTTATTTTATAAAATTTTAGAGCTCAAATATTACAGAATGTACAGTTCTTAAAATAACAGACCACCCTGAATAACTTTTGATCTAATATTCGGATCTTCACATTCTAGAACTCAAACTTAATTGCTGGAGGGGTGACTTAAAATATGGTAATCAATAAGTGCAGACAATGTTTTAACTAAAGAAATCAGACTCCTAAACGTACTTTGTCTGAATAAATTTTTTTTTCGATAGATTCGGAATTCTGACCCCCGAAATTCGGGGGTAGCTGAAATCTGAGAAGTATGGTTCCATTAGCTTAAACAGGAGAGAGCACCGAAAAATCTTTCGGCACAATTATGAAATTTGTCAATACAAACATAATTCCTAGCAGAAAATAACTTTTAGTAAGCATTTATTATTTATTCTTGTTTTATTTAATAATGATCGAAAAATATTTAATTGTGAGACATATATATTTTGCGTCATTTCAACGAATATAATTTTAAATAGCAAAACATAAAATTTGAACGAAATCAGTGTATTACTTCCTGAGAAATCAAATTTCTCAAGAAATTTTTTACCAATTTTGCTCAAATTTTGTATTTTGCCATGTATTAATATATTCTGTAAAATGACGCAAAAAGTTGGATTTTGCTATGTAATAATATATTCTTTAAAATGTCGCAGAAAGTTGTGTATTTTACAGTTCGACCATTATTAAATATAATGATAAAATTAATAAATGTTTACTGAAAGTTATTTTTTGCATGAAATTATTTTTGAATAAATATATTTTATAATTTTGCGCAAAAATTTCTCAATTCGCTTGAAAAGTCCTCAAAATATAGCGAAATACGCATAAAGTAAGATTAACATTAAGGGGTTCAAACTTTGGAACGCTGACTGTATTTCCCAGATTGTGGCCACCCCCAATATTTTTTGGGTCAGAAACCCGAATCCGTTAAAAAAAGGTATGTTTATTCAGAGAACACTCGATTTTGTGTCTGATGTCATAACTTAAAATATCGTATACATTATAAATTAGTACATTTGAGGTCATTCCCTCGAATCGTTAAGATTGAGTTCCTAAAAGATCATTAGATCCACTCATTAGATCAAAAGTTATTCAGAGTGGTCCATTTTTTGGCACACTATACATTCTATTACAATCTTTTAAGCTATATATTAATCATTAGGATGAACATGAATTCAATTCTTTTTAATTGAAAATAAATTTCTGTTTTACTTTTGCAAGAGCCACGTGTTGAAACTTGTCGAAGGCCAACTCATAATCTTCTCCTTTCAATCCTTTCTGCTGACCCCTCAAGATCCTGGCCGTCGTGACCGTTGTGAGACCCATCCCATCGCCAATAAACAGAATGATATTCTTGGCAATGGCCGAACTCTCTTGGTCTCTCAAATTTTTCAAGATCTGAGCTCTTGCTTGACGATACCAATGATGACGATCTAATGAAAAAAATAATAAAATTTCTTGTTTATTACAATATATTTCCTATCCTTTAAGACTATTATAAAAACTTACTTGGTGTGGACGAAGTACGAGTTTAATTCTACATTTTAAAGAATACCGGGTAAATAGTTGCAGCACCCGTAAAATCCATTTTAAGAATAAAATCCATTTTGAAAGTAAAATTTTATACCGTAATTTTTACAGTAATATTTATTTAATCACAATGGTTTTGCAGTAAGTATTACGGAATATCAGTTTTTTTTGTTACGTAAAATTTTACGATAAAAATGGAATTTATGATGAAATGTAATTGCTCGTACTTTTGACCGTAATTTGATAGGAATTTTTTATTGCATTGTTTAATCCCACTAAATGCGATTATGTGTTTCCTAATCCATGTTTTCTCTTTTGCATCAGAAAATAGTTTAAAGCTTCATTTAATTCATGTACAAATTCAAAATTGTCCGATAGAGAAGAACCACGAAGTCGGTTGCAATTTACTGCAATTTACCTCATCATACAATTTACTAAAATTTACTACATTATATGTAATTTACAATTACTTACTACAATTGACGATCGAGGTTGACCTCGAATCTCGTTTTCTTCTTCCGCATCAAAATAAGAAATTATCTAAAGGAGAAGTCAACTACACCTAAGTTGCGTAAATTATTCATAAACTGGTAAGAGTAAAAATAAATATTTATTTTCAGTCCTTTAGCAAAACGTTTTAACTAGTATCCATATAGACATATCCTCAATTTAACTTAACTTATAATCAAAAAAATTATACAGCTATGATGCAAATATAGCATTAATAACTAGATAAAAGTGTAAAATATAGTTGTTGCAAACTTTAAAATCTAGCTGTTTCATAAATCAATGGTTCTATAACTTTATTTTTGCGTATAATATATACTTAAAATTTTTTTAAAAAAAATTTAAATCAAGAAAAAAAACTTACATATAAATTTTAGATTACCTCGAATAAATATTTATTCCGAATACATAAAGTATCTATAACTACAATGAAATTGTTGTTCTGCTTCTTTTTGGTTAATCTCAAAAATTCAGACTGTTAACCCATGTGTCGTAACTCTTTTACTTCATTAGATACCATGATTCTATTCATATGTAACTCTTGTGCAACTTTTAAATTGAGAAATACCTCAGAGATGTTTCATTCTTTAAAAAATAAATTCTATGATAGCGAGTGTTTCGTGTTATTTATGTTTGTAAGCCTTGACTTTCAAACAGCTTAAAACACAGTTTGATTTTGTTAGAGTCAGTGTAGCAGCTTTTAATTCTAACGCTATGTTTTTATAGTACTTCGATTCCGCTACGTAGAAGGTGTGACCGTTTATACTTAATATAAATAAACTACAAGCCAGATTGAATGGAAAGTTTATGTGTTCAAAATACTTATATAAAGATAATGCATTGAAATAAGTATTTAAAGATTAAAACTAATTGAATTAAATTTTTAAAGTTCAAGTAAATACCTTAATTTATTGAAATTTATTAAAATTTATTGATAAATTACAGATCATATATAATATAATTAACTAGTTAAATAACCGTTCTTCGTGCGAGGGTAAAAAGTAAAACATCAATTAAAGAAGTATTGATCGAAAATTTGATCACAAAACTGTAAGATTAACATTGTTATGTTTCAATATTTATTTTAGATAGGCCCTGAAAATAAAACTAATCCACATAATGCGATTTACCAATAGATATTAGTTGATAGTTGGTGATATAAAAACAGTTTCCTGTTGACAAAACAATTGGAAGCGAAGGTAAAGTAACTCATTTAGGATTACATTGAAAATGTTTATGTTTGCAACTATTTTCCTGTTGTCTCCATGAAAGTAAACACTCTGAAAGAAAATTCATTAAAATGTGTGGTTCCATGATCTTTTTCTACGTAAACAAATCAAAAGATAAATATTTGTGGTTAGCATTACAAAAACAACTTTAACTTTTCTATAATGGTTCTGGTTAGAAAAAAAGTTTATTGCGAACTTAAAATGATTTTACAGAATGTCATTTCAACTGAAAGGGATTTTTTGTTTGTTTATCTCTTCACTAACAACATCATATTTTATAGTAACAAATTATTTAAAAGGTATTTATAACAAAAATATTGCTTGGAAATTGAATTTAAAAATATGATTTCGATATTATTTACTTTTTTCGTTTTTTTTTAAACTTTGGATTGCAAGATCTATTTTTGACCAAAAAGAAAACAAGATTATGGTATTTTTCAGTTTGATACAAATTGCAAATTAAAATTCAGGCAAAAAAGTCAGAATAAAAATATATTTATGTATAACGTGTAAGTTAAAATATTGACACTGTCCTGCAAAATATATACACTGTAAAAATTCTGGATCAAATTACTGTAAAAAGTACCAGTACTCAGGATACCCATACTTTTTAAAATAAAATCCATTTTTAAATCGAGACATATTACAGAACAATAAATATGATAGACCTTAATTTTTTCACTAATAATTACTGTAGAATCACGACATCACTCGAATTAAATAAACATTAATGTGAAAATTACGGTATAATATTTTACGGTAAAAAAATACAGTAATATTTTATAATATAATATTTTATGGTATCGGCAATCAGAGTACTGGTACTTTTTAGAGTAAAAAGCATTTTTACCGGAACATGTTACATAACAAAAAAATCTTACTTACCGTTAGTTTTGGACTAGTAATTACTATTAAAGTAAGTAATTACTATAATTAAATATCAATGTAAAAATTACGGCATAATATTTTACAGTAAAAATAGATCTTACAGTAAAATGGATTTTACGGATTATGCTCCCACAGCGCAGGCACTTTTGACTATAATTTGATGCATTTTTTTTACAGTGTACTATAGCAAAGTCTACCACAGGAGGACTGTAGCAACAAGTTTTAAAGCGTGTAAATAATATGTTTCTTTACATTCAGGCAATACACTGCAATAAGCAGATTTCAGAGTGTTGTATTACATATGGAGATATTTAGAAAATTAATTCCTGCATTGATATACATCTATAATGGATACATACTCTGGCATTTTGCTGCTATGCAATGCATTTCATAAATCACTAAAACCCATTTACTAATAATTTCAGCTGACAGTGTTTACTTTTATTCCAATTAAGAGCAGCAAAACAGTCTATGATCAAAAACAAATATTGGATAAATTTCCAAACAAGAAATGGTAAATATTAAACTATAATTTACCATATCGTAATTTGTAGTTCAGCTATTATGAAACCTTATTCGCTTTGCATTTAGTTTCAATAAACTTGTACTAGATTTTGATCATTTTGATACACAGTTAAAAGCTTTTAAGGGGGCCTAACCGCTCAAATTTGCTACAATTTTAAGGTGTGGCTAAGTATATATTGCATTTTTTAAGCACAATGTATGCCATTATGGTATTGAATCTGGAAATAGATTAAAAAAATATTTTCTTACGGTTGCATCCATTTTGTTGCTTACAAATATTTGGTGCGAATTTGCAATTTTTTGGTGCAAATGTCACGTTTTTACGACATTGAGCATAAAACTAGGTTAAAGCCAATAATTATGTTAAAATTTCGTGCCACTAGACTAAAATCAAAACAACGCAGTAGAAACCAGTAAAAAAGAAGAAAAAAAACCTTGAATTTTTTAATAGTGATTAATTTAACTTAATAAATTTTTTATCCTATTGTATATTTGTTAATCTTCATTTTATCATGTTATATGAATAAAAACATTTTGAAAATTATTGTTTGTAATGATATAATGCTTATAATTTACTTGTTCAAATTATCTATAACTAGCTGTGTTCATAAGTTGATAAAAAACCATCCGAAATTGATTCCAATTTGATTTTTTTAAACTATATGACTGGAGTTTTTGTTGCATGTAGGATTTTTTAAAAACTGTTTCTTTTCACAAAATAGTGGAGTTTTGAAGAAAAAAAAATTAAAAAAAAGCCTAAAACAAAGAATGTTTCCGTAGATTACTTAAACCTAATAAAACCAATTTAAAAATTGCTAAGTACTACGAAAATTATATTTATTGTTAACATTATTAAAAAAATTTAAATTAATCAATTTAAAATTGTGCTAGAGTTACAGCAAGTAAGAGTTCACTAGTTCATAAATCTCATAGCGCGCAAATGTCATGATCTGTAACTTTTCTATAACTATAACTATATAATGTATAACTTCATAAATGTCATATTCTATAACTTTTACATTTTTATGACAATCAATGCTATATTTTTTTACAATACTCTCAAAAGGATGAAGTGTGAAAAATGCAGCATGTTTTTCTTTCCTTTTTGAAAATTTTATTGTGTTTCCTCCCTTAAAATTGAAACGTCTAGTTAAAAGTACGTTTTACAGAAATTAAAATTAAAACTAAATCGATTTAATAAGGCGATTTAAAATTTCGAGAATAAAGCACTAAGTTTGGCTGCTGTATATTTCCAAGTAAATACTCATTATAAAAGGAACTTACTTTTTCAAATAGTAGAATAAGATAAAATAATATTACATTATAATAGAAAATAATCTAAATAGTTCCTAAAACCTATTATTTAATTAATTTGTAAGAAATGAGGCACTTGACTCTAAATCTTTTCTTCTGAGCTAATGCATTTAATTTTATCTTTTGTTGTTATCTTCAAAGGAGAAAACTATTTTCCAAAATATTCAACACACAGCATTTTATAAACAGTTCACTTTATTCCGCTTTAATTCAATCAACTGTTATTAAATATTCTTTTACTTAAAGCGTGACTTTTGCTTACTTTTAAGAGTAAAATATTCTTCTTAAAGAATTGTTTTGTTTTGCTGAGTCTTATCAACATTATAAATTACCTGCAAAAGCTCAATAAATCTGGGAAAACATTCCCCAGGCTTATTCTCTGCTGATGCAATTAACAAATATTAAGACTTTCGCTTTCGAAACTTCACGAAAAATACAAA